AAAATAAAAGCACAAACCTAGTTATATCTTTAAATACCAATCAACACATTTAGCACTTAACACTTTTATAGTCTCAAATATCAATAACCAATTGATTGCAAACAAAATATGAAGGAAAGGGAAATTTACCTTGAAGTAGTCTATTGTTCCACCGTAGAAAATACCTATAAAAAAATTAGTTTTATTAGTTAGAATAAAAAAATAAACTTATCCACCGCATAATTAAAAAAAAAGAAAAGAAAAAAATAAACTAAAATTTTTTTTATATATATTTACAAATAGTAAAGTATTTTTTATTCAATTTTTGTATCAATCAAAATTAAATATATCAATTTTTGAATTAAATTAATACCAAAACATGCTTAATTTTGATCAATTTTAAAATCTAAATTCTTTAAATCCATATCGTATGGATCATCTTGATCCCAATACGTAGATGACAGATCCGAAAGACATCCGAGCATTTGCATATTCCAAGTTAACAAGATGCCATTCAAGCAATTGCCTCTCCTCGGTACATCTAGCCATACCATACGAGTTGCTCGAGTCTCTCCAAAACAGAACTAAGAGAAATATCGTTTGTAAATCCACCCATTATATATATACTTATATGTTAATATTAATAATATAAATGAAAGCTAAATAATGTCTATAAATAATTTGCAAGTTAAACCAAATACCGATTATTTTATCTATAAATAATGTCCGTAGAATTAAGCACGTTTGCAATCACCATTTATGTAAATGTAATTTAACTTGATGATAAAAGATTCATTAGAATTTTATGTCTCGTAGTAAAGTTTCAATGATTGAATGTTAATAACTAAGTAAGAAGCATATCCATCTCCTATGATTTTCCATCTTCTATGATTTTGAAACATGTTTTTGTTTTTTTTTTCCCCTTAGTCTCAAAATTCAAAATGGTTTCCAATAAACGCATGCATTTACTTAATCTCCCAATATTCAAAATGATTTTATTTGATCTATTATGATTTGCTCATTCAGTATAATTTGATTATAAATTATTCTAAATTTTTTGTCCATGGATAAAAAGTCTTTAATTTTTTAGCTAACTTGAACTGTGTGCAAGTCCGACTTGATTTTCCGATGGCTTTACTTTGTGTTTTTTGTTTTCTTCCCGACGGATATACTTCATGCACTCTCCGATATTCCAAGAAACCTTAACTTTATCGAGCATACAAGTGACATTGGATGGAAGGAGTATGTGGTTTATCTCGCTCCCTACCTTTCTTTTTGTCCGGTGTGTTTGTCACGAAAGATGAGAGGAAGATTGGAAGAAGGGAAAGGGGGAGAGAGAGGAGGGATTGGCTGTCCAATTTGTTTGGAAACGGAATGTAGACGCGAGGAAGGATCAAAAGGATCCTTCCAATCTTTTCAATTTGGACGAATTGGTTCATATCCTTTCCTTTGTTTTCTTTTTGTTTTTGTAACCTTCAATGCTCGTGAACTTGGATGGATTGATTCTCATCCTTCTCCTCCTTTGTTAGCCAAACAACTAGATGGATAGTCCCTTCCTTTCTTCTTCTCATTCCACCTTATCCAATTTATTCTTCCTCCTATCCATCCATCTTGACAAACATAGCCTAGAGAGGATTGGTATGGATACCGGTTATAACACTGCCACCAAGATCTACAAGCAGCAAATTGACCCTTCCTACCCATCTTTTGAGTATAAACTCTCCCTCCAGGACGATTCCTACCTTCTAGAACAATGACCTTGAAACCAAAGGACATGAGTCGCTTTGCTTGCAGATAAACCAACAAGTCCGAGTACCAATAATTATCACGGACCCTTCATCCCTATCTTATCTTAAACTAAGATTACCCTAACCTATCAATTGCCATACATCATGCTTGCACTCTAGCTAACTCCTTATTGTTAGTTGTCAATGAAGTGCTATGGTTTCATTTCCATTTATACTCCGATGCTTTCTTTTCATAGTCTTTCCCTCTACAAGATTTTAGTTTCATAATTTCCAAGCCCACTACATTAGACAAAATTATCTAACTCCCACTTGATATAATTTGGGCCAGTGCTCGACATGCCCAAAGGAATCGGGTCAAAGACTTGAGAGAGCTACAAAAGCCATTTCTTTTTCGTAGAGCTACTCCTACTACAAAAAAGAAGAGCAAGAGCAACAGTGTAGAAGAAAAAGGGAGTGACAACGAAGGGAAAGTGAGTGGATTGGCAAAAAGAGCTCGTTTTTAATTACTTTACATATTCTAATTAATCCAAAATACTAGACCATGCATCACAACCCAACGAGACACACTCACATTAAAGCACTAAGACCATGCATCACAACCATGCATCACAATCCAAAATATTTAAGGACACGAAAATCACTTCCCGCTAACTCAAGCAAACTTAGATTAAGACAAGCAATATACTAATTCAAATTGCTAATTAGGACAAGCAATTTCATGACACAATAAGATCATTGGCAGTGTCTTTGAAGTATAACATCTACGCGAACTTAAGTACTTAACCATGACACAACAATTCGGATAAGAATTGAAAACTTCTTCTTTGAAGCAAGTTTATTAATAGGAAAGTCACATTATCTTAGGATTGCCTTGGGATACGGAGATGCTTTTAGGACTTAAAGTAACGATCCTTTTCCAGTTTGGGAATTCTTTTGAAGACAATCGCTCTTGCTTCTCCGGTGCTCTAGCTTTAAGTCACAAAATAAGAACAAGACAAGTAGCATATTAGATTGAAAATGTCAAGGGAATTAGAGAAGAAAAAAGTCGGTAATCTAATTGATAGGAACAAAATTAAACTTAGCATACTTACCATTGCAGATGAGAAGAAAAAATAAGCATAGGATAGCTATAATTTCGTTTCTAACAAAATCAACAGTGAGTACCCAATTGATTTAGAGGATAGCTATAATTTCGTTTCTAACAAAAAGGAGAAAAGGACGAATGAGAGGAGAAGAACAAATAAGCGAGAGGAGAAGAAACATAAAGCGAGAGGAGAAGAAGCATGAAGCAGAGAAGAAGATTGAATAAACAAAGGAGAAGAAAAACCCTAAGAGGAGATGGATAATGTAGCGAGGAGAAGAAAAACCCTAAGAGAAGAAGGATAATGTGGCGTTCTTTTCCCTTTCGTAACCAAAAAAAATAAAAATAAAGGTAAAGAAAGAAGAAGCGAGATCGGAAGATGGAAGAAGGAGAGAAGAAGCACCTCGACTGAAGGAAAGCTCTCGATAAGATCTTCCCCCTTTCGAACCAAACAAAATTAAAAATGAGGAACCTAAAGAGAAGAAGGACGTAGCAAATCGAGGAGATCAAATAAGCAATTTTAGAAGGAGAAGCTCAAAAACCCTAAGGAGAGCAGGCGAAGATGAAAGAGCTTAATTTTGCCGTTTCGGAACCAAACAAAAAAAAATAAAGATAAAAAATTTTTTCATTAATAAATTAAAACTTGCGCTTCTTATTAAAATTTGGGGCGGTTTTGTAAACCGCCTCTCATTTGTTTTATAAAAGTACCTACTAAAACACTTTATAACCGCCTCAAGAATTCCGCCTCTATACGTATTTTTTGTTGTAGTGACAAATTATCGATTCAATATCAAGACTAGCAAAGATTTATTGTGATAATTTTACTCGTAGTTTTCTTCTCTAAGAATAATAAAAGTAAAAGTCGAAATAAGCATATTGACATAAAGTATTTCATGAAAGAACATGAAGTGCTCATTGAGCATATTAGTACCAAGCTAATAATTGCAAATCCTATGACTAAAGCACTACCAAGTAAAACAAGTATAGAGATCATGTGGATCGTATAGGCATAGCTAACTTATTTTTTGTTTGACTTTATTTTCTTTTTTATTGATTGTCTAGACTTTTTTTTAGTTGTTATTAAAGATTGATGTGATTTTTATGCACATAAAGCATTATTTTTTTATATTCATTTTAATATCTAAAGTTGGACTCGAATGACTTATTGGAAGTTTACTCGTAAAGTTTATTTACTCATTAAGTGCTTGTTTTAAGAATATAATATAATGTAATGTAATACATGAAAGGAAATGCTTAATTATAAAGCATGGTCGTTATGATTCATATGTTGTATTTAGGGATGGCAATCCAACTTGTCCCGCCCCACCCAGTTTGGGGCGGGTATGGGGCATGAAATTTTGCCCCGAACGGGACACGGGGGAGGATAGGTTTTTTTCTTCAAGCGAGGCGGGGATGGAGGGCGAATTTTTGCCCCGAACGAGGCACGGGGCGGAGATGAGTTTTTTTTTAGGGGCGAGGGGGATGGGGATGGCGATCCCCGCCCCGCCCCATTGCCATCCCTAGTTGTATTCTTAATCTAAATGTAAATGTTTTCACTAACTAATCATTTTGGACTCTAAAGAAATTATTATTTTTAGGTAGTGTCCTATGGGCCAAGTGGGAGAATGTAAGAAAAATTCATATGGTGTAGCCCATATGTCCTGTTTTGTTTTAAATCTATAAGTGACAATGTAAAAATTTAGAGCCCAAATGGACTCTAGTGATGGGTTAAACATATCTATAATGGATGGAAGTGTAAAATTAGGTTAAAGAAAGAGTCCTAGTCTAATCATATAAATATAAAGTTTGTGTTTTTTATCAACACACAAAACCATAAAATATTGGCATCGGATAGAAGGCTCCCTCTCCTTGACGGTTCCAATTTTTCTTCAACAACATCTTGATCACTTCATTAATTATGGTAAGAGATATGTATCTTATTAATTTTTGCTGTGTTTATATACTTAGGCATATTTAATAATCTTACAAACAAATTACATTCTACTATAGAGTAATGTTTTCCTATTCTTGCTCCAACCAGTCGAATTGATCACCCTATCACCAGCGGGTTAGTAGATTGAATTGTGAGTTAAATGGATAAATCCAATATAATTACAGAATTTTAAAATTCTAATCAATGTTGCACTAAAAAGCCATTTGGGAATGGCGTCAGCTGTCAGGATCCCTTTGAAATGCGGGAATTAACCCTATCGTATCATGAAGAACACGTGCATAAGCATGCACGGTGCCAGGTCTGAACCTGAAAGCTAACACCTGTCGTTTGCTTTCACCAACGCGTGTCAAACAAATTCCCACCGCATGCACAGAAGAGAAGAGAACCATAATTACTACCAATCTAGGGAAAGAAGCTTGAAAACGGAGAGGAGAGGAGAGTAGTAGTCCATCGCACTTGCTTCCTTTTGCTCGCCGCTCAAGCTACCGATACCTACACAGGTCAGAACTTATCCATCAATCAAAGAATATTTTTCTTATTTCGATGAATATCAATAAAAAACAAAAAAAATAGTGTTCTGATTAATTCATTATTGCTGATCCATGACGTACGTGAATGTATTTGGTTGGTTTAATTAATTTTCTTAGTTTGTCACTAGGAATTAGGATATATGGAGATGGAATGGGATGAGATGATGAAACGATCTGAAGATAATAATAGGTATGGAAAAGTTAGCTGGATATTGAACAAAGGATTGTCGGTGGGAAAGATGATTTTGGTCACAGGTTTTGTGATATCTTCAGCACCAGTTATTCTTCCTCCTCTTGTGGTTATCTCAGCAATTGGCTTTGCTTGTTCTCTCCCATACGGCCTTTTCTTGGGAACCTATGCTTTCACTGGCCAGCTCATGGCTAAACTTCTTCCAACACCTAATTCTAACCTTTTTCTGGAATGTAATTATGGAACAAATTTTAAGGATATTACTGTCGTAGATGAAAAACAACTATTGGACGATCAAGTGGAGGAAAATGGGTATGAGGAAGATGTTGAAGATCAATCTCATAAACCTCCATCGAAAGTCCAAGAGGCCAAGCAAGAAAAAACTGTCATAGAGCAAGGCAGGGAGGGAGTGGATGGGGCATCTCAAGTCACGGTTATAATTAACGAGGCCGGAGATGAGGGAAGTGGCAGTAATATTCTTAAAGACGACGGAGCACCATTTGAATCAGTGACAACAGGAATATTAATAGAAAAAATTAGGGATGAGGGCAAAGTTGATGATGAAGCACTGCAAGAAGAGATAATCAAGCAAAGCGTAGAAAATGTGTGTGGAGAGGTGGATAAGGAAGAAATTGGTCAAAGGAATGTGCATGAATCGGGTAGAAATGACAAAGCAAGCATGGAGGAACGCTCGGGAGTAATTGGACAAGTGGTGGAAGAAAATGTTGACAAGGAAATTCCACTTCAAAGTGAGGAGGTGAAAGAGATGGTATCCTCTGCTGTCCTCATGGAGATGCAACCGATACAAGATGTCAGAGTGTTGTTAGAGAAAAAGGATGTTGAGGACAGTACCAAAGGAAGAGCACAAAGAAATATTGCCCATGCTAAACAGGACCCCCAACTGACTAAAGAGAAGGAATTACTTGTGATTCCTCCAAACGAGGATGCAAGAGAAATTGCAGATGAAAGTGGGTTGCACTTGTTTGATGATAAACAAGCAGTTGGTCTTCAGTGTTCCTACTCAGATTACCGAATTACAGAAGGTAAATTAAGTTATAGATTCATAATAATTGCGCTATGACGCATTTAATTTGTAACAAGCGTTATTTATCTTAGTTCATTATTGCATCAGCTGGGATTGAGCATTCAAGTTACGAAGCTTATGAAGTTACTCTACCAACAACGGTTGATGACTCCAAATGTACTGGAATTCCAGACATCCATTTGGCTGCTGGTAATGGTAAGGTATGACTTGCTATGGATTGCCATAAACAACTAAAAACAAATAGGAGACTCCCATGCCAATATGTTTTGTTAACCTTACTTATGCATGAGATCTGTTTGAAGGTGGTTAAGCAGCTATGTTTTGTTCAATGTTGTCGAGTTAGTTGACTGATCTTTTTGCTTTGTCTTCTTAATGTGTTGCGTCTGGATGCCAAACCAAATTCTGAAATATGGGAAGGTCTAAGTTTCTCCGACCAGCACAAAAGGAATTTGCTCATCTATAAAACTTCTTGCCTTCTCGGAATTTAGTAAACTTAATTATGAGATAGGAATTGCATTAGCTACCTAACAGATAGGTTTAGCAGTAGCTACAAGATCAGGTTTTAGCTGAATTAGAACCATAGTATTTTTCACGGAATCACTTAGGATGAGAACATTTACAGGTTGTTTATCTTCCGCTTGGGTCATTTTAACATTGAGAGTTTGTAAATTGTGGAATAATTAAATAAACCGAGGAGGTTAAATTTTTTACATTGAAGCATGTAAGTAGCACCATGTCCAAAGTCCGAACTCTCTCTGCACTATTGTTGAATATACACAAAGCTACTTTTAACAAATCTCATTGTAATTTCTCTTTCTGATATAATGATATACATGACTATACACTAGCCAAGTTTTCCATTCTAAGCCCAACAGATTTTCACAGGCAGTATTAGTAAGCTCCAGGATTAAATTATTTCTGATCAAGTGGGCAACATACAATTTGCTTTCTAAGTCGTCCTTGAATATCAAGAAAGTTACTGTTATTATCCTTTCTCCTTCTCTAATTAATTTGAATGCATGAGTGGACATAAACGATTGTCAAGTAAAAAATTTGAATGCAGAACACTTAATAGCTTCTTACCTCTTTTCTTTTTCTTTTTTGGTGTTGTATCTTACATCAAAGGCAACCTTGAGGAGTCGGTGAGAACTTTTACTGAGTTTTTATAAGGAGAACCCACGCTTAATTTGGCCCCGTTTGTTTTTGTGTTGCATAGTATCCTTTTGGGACTAGAAGGCATTAAGATATTGCTTAATTAGTCGAAGTGTTGTCTCAATGACAATGAAATTATGGTTAGAAATGCTGCAAAAATTAGGTGAAAGTAATGTTACTGCACACATTACGTTAACACTGCACTGCATCACCCTAGTGCTTTTCTCCTTTTGGCTAAAGCAAGATTGATGCGAATGGTTTAAACTCAAAGAACAGCTCCTTCTATACGATGTTAAATATTGTAAGAGATGATTCCTCAAATGTGATTACTTCTAAAACCTAATTTTTCATAAATGTTTAAATTGATGATAACATTAATTCACCGATTTCATGTTCTGGTCCTGAAATTTGAGTGTTAGAAACGATGTGTTCTTGAAAGAGGTCAACTTTGGATGCTGCATTTCACTCCTGACGCCAGCATCACATATCTGGTTTTTCTGTGGATAAGCTCCTGCTAGGAATTGCAATGAGACGGGGCGGGGGCGGCCCTTGAAAATTTTCCTTCGTCTCTACCCTGTGTCCCGTGCAGAATAATATTTCTTATACCATTTTCATCCCAAACGGGAATGGGGATTTCCTCGGGACACTAGCGTCCCGTTTAATGTTTGGTTTCCGTCCTGTCCCGTTCTACTATTAAATTTCAAACTATAATAAAAAAATTATAGTTCATATAGAAAATAAACACTAAGAGTTAATAGTCATAGATTTTATATCGAGTATAATTATAGTTTCAGAGATAAAGCAGGACAAACGGGACATGACAGGCAAATACCATCCTCACCCAATCACTGTTCAAAATAAATACAGCACGGAGCATCCCGTTCTGCTCCCTAGTCAACTTGGGGAATCTCCGCATTGAATAGGGTGGGGGTGGAGTGAGGCTCTGTTGGGGCGAGGCAAATTGCCATCGCTAGCTCCTGCTAATCAGAAAAATGTGCAAGTAGGATAATGCTGGTGAAGGGCAGGGTTTAGACAACTGACTTTTATGAAATCTTCATGGATATTGCTTGGCTGCAGGTGCTGTACGGTGAGGACAAGATATGGAAACAAATTCATGCAATGCGCAAAATAGTGGGGTATAGAGCTTCTGTGCGAGCAACGTGTATCGAGGAGCTCAAGGCGCTTTACGTTTTCACCGGAGTCGATCCACCTGCCTCATTTAAGGATCCTTCTGATCTGGTGGAAGTCAATGACCAGCTTAGATTTCTTATGACCATTGTTGGAGTCAAGTAGACGTTTGTTTTGATAATGGACTTGCTTTTGGGAATAAATTGCAGGTATTTTGTCCTAAGAGTTAAGTTTCTGTTCTAATAATGCGATTGAATTTGTTTGCTCAATGTTTAGGCTGTGTTTGGTACGGTCACAAAATAGTGTAACACACAACTTTTCTTTTCTTCGGTCTCTGTGTGTGTGTGTGTATACACTTCTAGGTGCGTTTTAATTTCATTCTTATTTTATGCATGCAATTGGTATTTTTTTAATTGTTTTTATTATGTAACGTGTTTTAGATTAAATATGTTTTGGATTAAGGAAAAATATGATAATTAGAGTTAGTTAAGTTTAATTAGATTTATTAATAGAAATAGATCAAAGTAATCAAATATTTGAGTTTTAAATGCAAGTGTAGAAGTGAGGATGAAAGTGAGTTTTTAAGGTGAAAAAAATAAAAAATTGGCAGCCTTAATTGTTTCTCCCAATTTCTTCCATTTTCTCTCATTCTCTTGTTCTTCGTTTCTCACCCTCAGAATTTTCTTTACATCCGACAATTTCTTCCTCCATTTTTATGCTAAAATCTTGCCTCCAAATCTTTGCTTTGTGAGTGCAACAACGTTGAGGTAGGGCATCAGACACAAATATTACATCCCAACAATCACACCGCAAAAGTACGAGGGAAGAGAAGTAGGGCATCAGAATTTCTACCTTATTTGTCGTCTTCCACAGTTTCATGCTACCAAAATTATTGGAAAAACGAAGAAATTCAAGATTAGGATCACATTCGCGTGTAAAAACAACAACATAATATATCATCAAGTCTCTCATTCATATCAACCAATTCTCTTCTTAATAAACAAACCTTAATCGTAAAAGAACAGAGATACCAAATCCCGTGTGTTCTAAGAAAAGCATCCCGAGTGTTTGTTCATCAAAGGGAAATCATTTTTACCCCATCTTCTCGACAAATCACTTGCAATACATTTACCAACATGAGCGAGGCAATTAAAAAATTTTCACCATCGTAAAAGAATAGTGTTAAAAGTAATGATCATGAATTTGCTTGATGAGGCCTTGCAAACTGGATATCTCATACTGATAGATCAATTTTCCTTCGAATGTGTAGAACATTACGCATTGCTCGTTAGGTCTTCAGAAAACTCAGTCAGTAGGGCTTAAAGGTCAACCTCAGTGGAGAAGCTATTACAAAAGCTTCAGTCCACCTGTGACATCATCAACCACTTCAACAGGTCCTGCACGTATTAGCATGAAGAAAGAATTAAAGAATTACGTGCAATAGAAAGAAAACAGGTGATTGTTGCTATGACTTTCAAGTTACGAGTATAGTCCAACAACTTTTGCTACAAAAAAGTGAGTATAGTGCTTCTTATTACATAACAAAGCTACAGAAAATAATTAAAGCTGAACAAAGTTATGGTAAATCATGGAAGAAGAAACCAAAAAACCATATAAAGTCAGAAAAATCTTTGCTTTGTTAGTGCAACAACGTTGAAAAAAGAAGAAGAACAAGAAGAAGCTGTCTCCTAGTGAACAAAACTGCATTGCATTATCCGAATGACAGTCTCTGGAATGTCAAACCCACATTTTGAAATGACAGTATCATGATTTTGTGATGATTGAGTTGCTTAATGAGCCAGCCACCTTGGGTATCATAACCAAACTAAATCCAGGTTTAAATCAACAGTTCATTTGGTAAGAATATGAGAGAAGTGATTCCTTATCCAATTTAACAATCCCAAGGACCAATTATGGGTAGACTCAAACAAAAAATAAAAAAGGCAATACCTACTTGCAAACCCAAACCAGAGTTTTTTTTTTTTCATAGGCAAAAGCCAAAATTTGAATTAGTAAATAAATTTCAGATCTTCATTGCTTCTTCTCATACTACTATTGTTAAACAGCAGTACAAAGCGTAAGGAATCATAGAATTTATAGGGGGAAAAAAAAGGAATAGAGGTCCAGAGAGAGAAAGCAAGATCATCAACATAAAGACTCCACTAAATCATTTCTCTTGTTAGTTTTTCAGTCCCATAAGGATGCCACAGATATATATTCTAAAAAATAAGATTTGGAAGCACCCTATTTTGAGGAAAAAAATATAAAACCCAAGCGAATCCACCAATATCTTGAGTTCATTATAAGTTTGAAGGTTGAAGGTTAACAGTGAAATTTGAGTAAATAACTTAATTTAATTGACTTGTCAGAAGCTACATTTTTCTACAGTTAATTTGGTAAGAGCATATTTACTACCTTTTGCATCTATTTCCATACTTTCTGAAAGCTAGTTTATGTAGTTCATAGTCTTACATCTAATTTTATGATTTAATAGACTATCTTTTGATCCGAAGTGAAGCAAATTTAATAAACAAATACAAATAAATCAAACACAGACAGATCATGTAGCTGATATGGTACACGCATACTTGAATGGAAACTCTTACCAAGAATAGCCATCACTGTTCTTGAATCTGAAACAACAGCAACAAATATATTTCAGTCCAAGTTTTGTTAATGACCAAAAGAAAATGCACTCTTAAGGTAAATTGGATAGCAATCTTGTTAGAACAGACTTTTTGGTACAAATGCGTTTAAAGAAGCAAATCAGGCATTTGGAGCAAGATCCATAACCAAAAAATCGAACCGGGACAATGCTTGGGTTTTCTTCAGTTTTCAAGAAAACATGCTGATCTTATTCACGCTTGTTCAATTGCACCATTAGAATATAGAAACACACCCATACCATCAAAATCTCATGTTCATTTGAGAAAATAACAATTACATGATTAGAGAACTGCAACTGCTAACATGTTCAATGAGTCAATAGTATTAAGATCACCTAGACTGTCAAAAATAGGTCTGCCTGTTTGAGGTTCGACATACTTCCAAGTTTCCACTCCATCAAGGAATACTTCCTTGGAAATTTGGAAGAAGAAAAAAAAGTACATCTCATATGGCTTTGTACTTCAAAAACGTTTTGAGTAGTTCCTTGCTTCCTCCTTTTTAAAAGCCAAATTCTCTGCCTCCCATCCGCCATGATATGTTAACTACAGTTCAAATGCATTTTTCTACATCCTGTTATTCGATTCTACCAAACTCGTGAATAAACCACTCTGCCTAAAAATGTAGATACAAAAATAAAAACTCCAAGCAAATTCAATGCAAAATAATGCTCCCCAAAAAAATTAAATTTTATAAGCAATCATCTACCAAAACCATGATCAATCAAAACAAAAGAAATCAGCTTTGCAACTCACTTGGAGCAATCTGTGTTCTTCCTGCATCAATTGTAATATGGGTTGGTAATTTAACTGATTTTGCCTTCTCCTGTCGAAGTTGAAAATTAATTTCTTAAGAGTGAACTAGATCAGATAAATGAACCAATTACAGAAACCACAATAAAGATAAATGGGAATCATGCTAATAACGGTAGAATTAAAGGGCAAAGTCAAAACATCAGACTCAAAATAAAACATAGTCTTAGCCAACGAAGCTTAAAAATTAAAAGCAGGCATCATAAGTTGGTTGGTCTTTTAGCTAGCATAGCAGTGAACAAAAATGCAATGATTGAGAAAAATCTCAAAAAGGAGAAATTAATTTCAAATGTGAGCTTGGATTTTCAACTGAGATACATTCCCAAGAATCTCAAGAGGTAATAGCTTTCTAAGCTTTTGTTAGAGTTTATTTTGACGTCAACTTTCTTTTTTAGGGTTTTCATCTATGCACACACCAACTGCAACTGATATTCAGTTTAACTGGATCAATAGGTGAACAAATATCTCACCAGGCTTTAAAGTGACACAGGGAAAAATGCAGGTAGATGTAGTGAATTGGGCTATAATCTGAGAGGGGGCGAATTAAAAATTTGCTTAGGAACTAAACTTGCCATCAAGGGAGATGATAGAAACAAGGATGAAGGGAGATTACTTTAACCTAAGACTAGAAAAATCCATAATATATGTCTTTATGCCCTGATAAGAAGAGAAGTTTTGTAGCTGTAAACATATAAAACTAAACACATCTGGAATTCATTTGCTATACATTAATAGACAAGCAAATTAGATGAAAGACTATGTTTTCCTGAAAGAAACAAAAAAGAAGACAATCCCATATTATGAATTTGATGATAATAGACATACTGACTTGCAAAACAAGCATATCCTCCTCACTTTCAATTTTCACAACCACCTTTGGCTGAGCACACATCTCCCACCTGCATATTTGCAAAATCCTTGAACCTAAAAGAGGAAGAAGAAGTAGCACAAAAGAGAAAAGAAGGGAAAAAAGAAAGGAGAGGACCAAAAGCATAACCATAAGGCTAAATTGTTCAGAACAATAAGTGCAGTACCTGTTTAAAGCCTTAGGAACTCGGTGAAGAAGCTTTTTATACAGGCCCAAAGTAGCATGACTAAAACCAATGACAAAAATCAATCAGAAAAATTAGAACAATGTTCAACATGCAGATTAAGTGAATGAGAATCACCGATGTTAATTTATCGTTAAATAGGTATGTCCAAAGGAATATGGAAAAAATCTGACTCTTTTAAGTGTTAAATAATCAACTATTTACTAAAGACGAGGAAAACAAACAGTCGTCAAAATAACAAATGATACTCTGCCTCAGTGCACAAAAAAAAAAAAAAAAAAAAAAAAAAAAAAAAGAAGAAAGGAAAGGTGAAAGAAGGGGATATGGTATGTGAAACCATTTTTTTAATCAGCTAAAAGTTGTGGTAAAGCAATTTGCTAAAAGTAGCCCCTCCAGTCCCTGGGTGGCAGCTGCTTCAACAAATCAATGAGACTGAAATACAGATCTAAATATGAGCCACTAAATCGATAACTTCTCAACTGGATCTATATGTCATATAGCAATGCAACATTCATGGTAATGTTCAGTAAACTGGTAAAGAGTACGGATGCAAAGAGGCCATGAACCACAGAATACTCAGTGCAGCAGATTTGTAACCCAAACTTTTATGCAGCTAAATAATCCAAGCGTACCATATCCGAACTCCCTTGCTAAGATTGTGTACTTGTGGAAAATTTTCCATTTCTTAAACTCACTTGCTAAATGTCTCTGTGCTGTTTTTTCTGATGACATGACAATATCATAAAACAATTTAATCACAAGTAATTGGTTGTTCCCTTTGACATTTGGTTACAGAAGGTATTTGGTGGTGGGTCTCCGAAAAATGCACGTTGTAAAAAAGCTAGATAATCAGCCATTAAATATTCTTAATAATCGGATAATCTTAATAAGTTTCTACTAATGAATTGTTATACAAGTGCTGTCAATAGCTTAGATAATAATTAGTTTGCCTTTACAAAAGAAAGAATGATCAGCTATCTTATAAGGATCTGTTTGCTTCGTCTCTAAAAAAGTTTGTCTGTTCTACGAAGAAGAAATGAGCCTCTGGACCCAGAAAATAATTCAATCAGGTGCTCAAATCTCACTTAAAACTAGTTTATTCTCGTGAATTAGAATACCATCTTCGAGCCTCTTTAGTCTAAATCCATCTAAATTTAGAAAAAAGAAAGGAAGAACACAATAATTCTACAAAGAGAGCAGGATATAGCGCCATTGTTCCACAAATAGCTGACACAATGATAGGTCTTGAAGATTAAGAAAGGCTACCTGCATTGAGCTGCAATTTTCCCTTTTCCCATCTTAAGATCGTTTCTAACAACCAAAACCTTCATTAAAAAAAGGAAAAAAAAAAAAAAGATGAAAGCAAATAAGGAATAATCAAAAGAAAATGTTTTCCAGATGGATAAAATATGCATTACCATCTTGAAATCATCAAGAATATCAGCGAGCTTATCAATCTCAAATGCTTCCTTGGACTTATTTTTCTTGTTACCATGATGACTTCTAGGGTTAGTATTCGCGTCTTCAACAACCTTTGGTGTTAATCTTAAAAAGATGAAAGAAGGGCGGCGTGTCCCAATGCAGTAACCTAAAGCAACGCAGCCTGCCCCAAGTAATAAGGCACTAAGCCAACTCAAATCCATCAATCAATTCCTCTACCTGCAGTGCAAACCCTAGATTGTTAGCATTATTATATACATCAAAACTTTAGCCTGCCAAAAAATATAAAAAAATGAAAAAATAGTTCGGGTAAAAGCTACACCTGTATAGTTGTGTTCAGAAACCGAGTACCACGATCAATTGAGATGCGCTCTTCTCCTACCTCTGCAATTCAGCAGAATACACTCGACTCTATGTACGGTTTATTGGCATCTTTTTATACAATCAATTTGAATATCAAATCATTAATTTTTTAATAAATTTTATTTATTTATATTTTTTTATATCTGACGCTCAAATATTGATCTAAAATATGCTATTTTAAATGTTCATTGCATGTGCTAAATGCAATAGTAATTTCTACAAAAGTGAATTACATTTTTGTTTTGTTTGTTTTGTTTAAGAACTAACAAAATTCAATTGTAAGAGAATTTGATTAATGCATAATTTATATAATTTTTATTCTTTTTTATATTAAACTTATTAGTATTTTATTTATCATATTAAACTAATTAGTAGCAAAATAACGATTTTGGGCTCGGTAAGAAAAATAATAAATAAACCCAAGCTAAGGAACATAAAAGCCCAAGCCCACGAAGGAACCAATAAAGACAACAAGCAAAGTCAAATTAGAGAAAAGAAACACACGACCTTGTGTCTTGTAAGAGGAAAAAGCTATTGCCATGTAAAACCAAAAGGAAAGTCATGTGGATGTTCAACACAAGAAGACGCATTGGTAGTATAAATAAGTGTGGCTTGTGCAGAAGAATTGACATGCTCGTGTGTGTAAACACTGAGTTATAATTTAAAAAAGAAAGAGACACCACACGGACGAAGTTCGAAAGACACGAAATGAAGAAGCAAATGTAACACGATCGTATATCTCATTCAAGCAAGTCGTGTGCCACCAATTGCTCAAGGCTCCAAACCATGTATGTCTAAAGAACAAACCATACACCTAAAGCAAGCAAACCATGTGTCCATATGAGGCGACTATATGTGTGTGTTGAAAGCTTACTTTGAACTATAAATAGAGAAATTAGGATTTTACTTTATTCATTGATTCATTCCAGCAACCATAGATAGGAAACATCTTTTGTAAGCAAAACCATGTAACTATAAATACTCTTGCTTAGGTAAAAGAAAGTTGAAGCTTTAGTTAAATCGTTGTAAGATCTAAACGAATTCTTCTTCTAATCTAATTCTTTTTGGGTATTTTATATTTTTCTATAATATCTAAACATGATTGTGTCGATTGATTGATTATGGTGCACACTAATTGATTGATATATGAAATCTATTGCTAGTTAAGAATTTAAATCCATAATTGCTTTTCTAATCTTACATGTGGTGGCAACTAAGAATTGGTGATTATAAATGAGTTTTAGTTCAATTCCTTGAACAATATAGAACTAGATTAAATTCTCCTAACTCGTGGGAGAGTTGTTTAGCTTCACCGATTTTTCGATTACTTAATGCTCCTATTGGATTAAATCTAGACAAGCTCGTTCTAGATTGTTCGATAGTTAAAGATTAATTAATTAACTCGTTTTAATTAACAAATCTCTAAGAATAGATCGAGGATAACATAGCTCATTGTTATTCTACGATAAATATTCATAAAAAGAATAAAATAATATTTCACTCAATAATTAACTATTGAACTAAAAATAAAAACTAACCTTTAACCAAAACTTTTATTACTCTTGTTTATCCTTTTGTTTAATTTTGATTATCTTTACTACTTTCTACAAACAAAAACCCCCTTTCTCTTTTCTTGTACTTTATAACAATCAGACAAAAGAGCTTTTCTTGTACTTTATAACAATCAGACAAAAGAGAAAAATTGATCGAAAGTTTGTAATTAGGTCTAATAAGGAAAAAAATATATATATATACTTTTATGATGGCACGATACACGGTCGCGTTTGTCCATAAGGATAGAATAAACCTATTCCTATGTTCAAAAGGGTGCAGTTTCAAAATCCCATTATTCCATTACGCGGCCCTTGTCCGCTCTCTTGATTCAAGTTCTCATGGACCTTCAGTTTGACCCGAGTCCGACAGAACTTACCACATCACGTGTTTTCCAAGGGTAGAATAAATGGCACTTTGACACATGTTGCATCTACATACATAAACTTTTAAGTTAAGTTGCATTTGGTCCTTCAATCTGTTTTGCCCGGACTTCAAATGCTGATTTTATCAACTCATTCCAAAAAGGTCGAAGTCCCAAGTCATTGCCAACGTTGATGCACCGGTGCTTTGGAAACCGCAAAGGATACCCATTTATTTTGTGATGGAAAGTTGTTTGAAGCATGGTCAAATCCTCCTGAAACTGAAAGGTAGCATTTCTAACCAGTATTGCATTACCATTCAGTCATTCTCCAACACCGAACAAATGAGGTAAGGATAACACATCCCCTTTTCACACAAGAAGACCTCTCATGAAGTCACAAGAATGAAATGCAGTGATCCATTTATTACCAGAACTACGACTATCGTTACGGCAATCATTTCTCTCACAACCATTACTCACGTCCTTGAAATTCTAACAAATACAGCAACAATCATGCATGTAAACAATCCTGGCAGAGGGCACAAAGCCAAGCTGACTGGCTTATTGCATCAAAGGCAAATCCCACATGCTCTCTAGCACAAACTTGAACTCCTACCTCCTAAAAATCCCAGAACTTTGAAGTGCTTGGCCATAATCTGCAATGATTGCAGAGCTTTTAACTAATTCCCAGATCTTGGCAGAATTTTTCAACCAGTCACGTTCTGAGACTGCCCTAGCAAAGAACAGGCCGTTCATTGATAAAACCTGAAGAAAAAGCAAACTTTTTCAAATTTGCAGACTATATGCTTGCAGTTGTTCACAAGAGAGACAGAGAGGGACCTGATCTCGCAATTTCCATAGCGCAGAGATGTAACTTTTGTACTGAACTCTAAGAGAGTTATCCTTGTCCTTGGATGGAATGACAAAAAGATTTATAGATTTTGAATCAGAATCATTATTATGACTGTTTGAAGGCATGGAAGAAAAGAGCTGTTCTTTTGCCATGCTTACGCCTTTGTCTTTGATGAATGAAGAGGAGCTGAAATATTGTGCTAGTTCCTTCCTCAGTTCCGCAAAATTAGATGGAGTACAATGTTCATCTAGCAGTCTACAAAAAGAGATAATTAGATAGGTGCTCCTGCACCCATAAAGAAAGAGAACCACCATATCACATAATACCCAGATAACTTTGATAAAGAATTCAAGCAATTAAGAAATGATATCGAAAATGAGCAACATTGTTTACTGACAAAGCAATAGATGAAAAAAATAGTTGAATTGAGATCTGTATAGTCTTTCCAGATGTTATTTTGAAAATCATTGTCATGCTATCCTAGGAGTACCATATTTCTGAGGATTTTAATTCTTGCAATCCATAGAAACTTTTCATTAATGATGACAGCTTTTTCTTTTTTTCTTTTTTATTTAGTTCTTTGGGTGCATGAGTGCCCTGCAGAATAAATCTGACCAATCATGAAAACATGCTCACATGGGCATAACTCTTAAAATTTCCAGGTTGTTACTGCAAGTGCGCATGTCTTGACCACCATGAATACAGAAAAAGTGACTTCCATAAATTCTAGTGAAAGAGAGAAAACAATGACAAGTCTAGGACGAATTAAACCTTCATGCATTAATAGACCATAAATCAAGTGTTAGGTGATTGCAGTATTTTGTTAGCTAACTTGGGTTTCCTAAAAGCAAGAAATATATCTTTCAAGTTCAAAGTGGTGTATCAAGACAGAAAATTGAACACCTTGAAGATATAATTACATATGGGATAAACCCTACATGGAGAGGGGGAAAAGTTGATCGTGTCAACAAGTATTTAATATAACTCATTTCAAAGCCTCACTACCTACCAAATTACTTTTCTCTATAAGCTAAGTTGCAATTTATTAGAATTGAACAAAATGATAACTCACTTTGTATGTACAAAGACTGGAGTGGCCAGATACTCTTCAGCCTCAGAGACTTTATCCTTGTTTCCTTTCTCAGGCCCCGCATTAGAGCTATGCAAATGTGAAGAGTTTAGTACAGATGGATCAGGTATGCCATGTTTCAGCAAGTCAACCTGCAAATACATAGCACCCCTGTAAGATCTATATAGATCGTGCAAATTAGATAAACCAAATGAGACATTCAAGGAGAAAGCTAAAGGACAAACAAAAGGCAAGTGCATAGAACAAGTATTTGAGATTAGCCAACACATCAGAGTATCCAGTTTCCTGTGACCTTGAAATGAATATACTGTCGGCCAAGAAACTGAATCCTTGGTTTCTAAACATTTAATGTTCATTTTTTAATATCATGAACAAAGACAGCTTTTTTTTTTTTTTTTTTTTGGGTGTGGGGTGTTGAGGGTTTGAAGTGAATACATGTCAGATTGCTAAAAGTTACAAAGCATGGCCTGTGTAGGGAATTACTTTTTGGGTGATAGAATAACAATTTATTGCCATGTACACTTGTAGAAATTTATTTTCATTTTCCCAAGGCATACATGGTAATTACTTTTTCAATATGTGAGCAGTTAGTTCTCACTATTGAAGTCGCTGTCCTTTTGTCCTTGTTGAAGTTGCATCCCAGAAAAACTTTAATTCCACACTTGGATATTCGAACCTTTATCCAAGTTCCCAATTTGGATTAAATTCCAAACAGCTTATCTTTGTATTTAAAAACAGTTGGCATTTTCAACCGGGCAATGAGGCTTTTCAAATACGTGCACTCAAAGCCTGAAGGTATACAAATTCAGGTTGGCATATCTAACCTAACATGTAGTTTTGCAATAATCAGTGTATGTGTGATCATATACAACCAAGAGGATCACAGTACATAATTCAAGATAAAGAGACGATGGATGGAAAAACAACACCTATTATTTCCTATTATCTGTTGCATAACAGAACTTTTCATTTTTTTGGTTGTCATATTGGTTATCCAAAAAGAAATCAACAAAAAGGAGGTAGTTCCAAATCCGAACTCCACTGAAATCAATAGAAGATTGACTTGGAGACACCAAATTTTAACATCTGAGACCACATTAACATGACCATAGCAAAAATCTAAGGATCGGTATCAGTATTCAGTGCAAGCCTCAATTGCACAAACTACCATTTCTGGTTTCATTATAGCTGCAAACCTTGAAAATAACACACCAAATGAATAAAATACGTTAATAACAAAATAATAAAACAAAAGAAAAGTTGTGATGCAGTATAGGAACATGAATGTTTGTTTGCAATTTAGTTATTATGATTATTATTACTAAAAGTTAGTATTTTATCATAATTCGTATTTCCTATATAATTTAGGATACTAAGGTTTCTTGGTGTCTATGTAAACACCAAATCCTTTATAGAAGGCAGAGAGAACATCAATGATGAATTAAAACTCAGAATTGAGTATTGTTTCTTCTGTTTATTTGAAACTTCTACATGATTTTCTTTCAAATCATTCGACCCACTTCTATAGGGATTCACCCTCTTCTAAGGTTTTCATTTTTCCTTTTTTCTTTTTTTCTTTTTTTTCCAACCAAAAAGGGTGAATAGCATTTTATAAAGAAAACAAAGGAGACATGCAATTTGCTAATTTGGGTCGACAGGGGAGTGAGGGCCTAAAGGAAAATCAAACCATCTAACAAATATAGTAGCAAATTCCCAAAGGAAGAAATTTGTGTGTCTTAGCAATTAACCAACTTATAAAGCTTCTGTCAAATCTGAGATGGATTGTTAGAGAAGTGATGTTGTGCAACAATGATACTTGATGTTTGACAATGAAATTAGTAACCCAATAGTAGTTTATATTTAAGCTATTCTTGGAAGGGAAAGGGAAAGCCATGATATAGGATATGTTCACATTCTGCTAGTTGCTATTGAAATTTGTCAAGATAGGAAATATACTATGAGTGCCTTGTTGTACATAATAACCTCTCTCACAAAGCCATACCACATAATCTTCATACATGAAGTCTTTTGTTTCCCTTTTTTTTCGACAGCAAAGAAATTACGGTTGATAATATATATATATATATAGATATCAAAACTGATGTAAGACAGAGAGTAACAAAGGTAGAGAAGTAGAATTCCAAAGGGAAAACATGGAGGCATAAACAATACTCTTCTGACTTTTAATTCACCATTAACATTCTCTGCCTTCTACAAAGGATATGGTGTTTATATAGTGTTTATATAGAAACCAAGAAACCCTAATAGCCTAAACTAAAAAGGAAATAAGAATCCTAATAAAATATTAGCTTTTAATAATAATAACAAAATCATATAAAGCTACCTAAATCTATAACTATCCATAAAAACACAAATTCTTTATCAAAGCATTTGATTCGATAAAAATACCCTTAAATTTTAAGAAGCATTACCTATATTAGAAAGGTTTTATTAATAAATACTTAAAAAATTCTACATGCCAATTTTTTTTTTTTTTAAAAAAAAAACCTAGTACTCGATATAAAGAAAATGTTTTTTTTTTTTTTTGGGTATATGATAATACAAAATATATGCCATTACTAATATATAAATTTAACTCTATTTCTTATTAAGAAAGAGACTAAAGCACTAATATAATTCCTATGATTCCTAAAAAATAGGTTAATCTTGTCTTTCTATTATATTTATACATCATATAAAACTTTGAATAATATAAAATAAGCTTCTTATATCACTTCTAACCTATATAGTGCCTTATTAGTACTTTATTTTGACTATCAAAACTCAAAAAACGCTTACAATAAGTCAACAAAAGCTAATAATTAAAATCTAAAAAAAGAGATTACATCAAAGTTTATCAAATTATTAAATTATATATATAAGATCTTTGATTATATTCCAATATCATCAATCTATCATGTTAAAAGTTAATAAAATTCTGAATAAATTTTTTTTCCACACACACATATTATGTTTTTGTGTTATATATAGATTTTATTTGGAAAAAAAAAACCCCAAATAAAAGTAATTCAAGAATATCATAATATAATAGTAATTTTAGTTAAAGACATTTTGATTAATTTTATAATATTAAAATATAAATATTAGTATCTGATATTCAATGTTTTATCAAGTTTTATTTTATTTTGGAGCTTTTCCAAGATTTTTCCATTATAGGTATTACTAAATACAAGTTATTTTTTTACATAGTAGTCTAAAATTGTTTTTAATTTTTATATTTATTTTCATCATATAATTAAACTAACTTTAGCACTAAATAAAAATGATAAGGTAGTTTTTTTTAATTGAAACAATTATTTACATGCATTGCAAGGAAAAATGAAGCCCTCCCCCCCCCCCCTCAAAAAAAAAAAAAAGAAAAGAAAAATGAATCTCTCTCTCTCTCTCTCTCTCTCTCTCTCTCTCTCTCTCTCTAAAAAAAAAGCATGAAACTCTCTTATAGCAACATAACACCAAAAATATTATTTTAATTTTTAACTGTTGAATAATACACGTGCGAAGCATGTGACAAATAAAAAAATAGTAAAAAGTATTAAATATATAGTTGAAAAATACACGTGCAAAGCATGTGACAAATAAACTAGCAATAATAAAATTCTAAAAGTACTAAATTACAAACAAACAAGCAAACTTTCTTGTTCCTATACTGCATCAAGTTGGTATGTTTGTATAATTTATGAACACAAATTAGCAAAGAAAAAAAAATTCCTAAGTGGCTACCAAATAAACAAAATTAGATTGTGTAAAGAAAGCTATCTATTCCAAAAGTTGTGGAGCATACAATGTTAATACGTATAGAGGCCAGGAAATAAGTAATACCGTCAACATTAAGCGCCACATGCTATCATCATAAACTCCATCTGATACCACCAGCAGCACGTGACAAATGGAAGCTAGAAGAACACCAAGCTAGAATGAGTCCTTGCAGCATCCCAGAAACATAGAAGTTCATCAGGCATTTTATCTTTCAATAACGTTGAGAATGTACTTACAACAAAATCAGACTGATTAGGCACAATCAATCAACACAAAGTTGCTATGTTTTAATCCAACCAAGAAATTAGACATGCAGTTCCTCTTCAGTTACCTGAATAGCTGTAAGTTCATGAGCCAACTCGGCAGAAAGGTTTTCACCACTTAAAACTGAAATTGTGGATGAGCCATCAGGTCTCATCATCTCTGCCAAAACAGAAGGGCTAAAAACAGGCTGCAAATTAAGAAAAAACTATTACAAAAAGTTCAAGAAAAGAAGAAGATAAAATTTCAGTGTAGCATATCTCCCAAATGATAGAGCTGTTGGGAAATTACTTTTTTTGGGAAAACGGGGACAAACTGATGGGGGACGTTGGCAGAAGCCCCTAAAGGTTTTTAGAAGAAGTTCTAAGAATAATTCCAATACTTAAGCATTGATTTGGCACGTGGGTAATGATGGAAAACTAACTTGGGAACTTGAGTAATTGATTAGGGCATTATAGTAATTTCAGATCTGCTGGAAAATCTGAAATTATAGTATTTCTATTTAAGTATTTCATTAGTCCTAAAGTCAGTTTTCGTATTCTAAAATAGGAATACTTATAGATTTTCCTAGTCTAATTAGGAATAGTTATGTTGGAGCTTTAGGAATCCTTGTCCGAATTGGATTTGGGCTTTTACAACTCTATAAATTCAGCATGTAGGCTTTCAATATTCAGTATGCAATAACATCAAATAATCTCCAGCACTTTGCTTTTGATTGTATGACTCAATCTCCCAAAGGTGTGACTCCTATGAACCCCAGGTGTGAAGCTTAGGTTTGTCTATCCTCTAGGTGTGACTCCTACAATTCTACCCACATAAACACCCCTAAACGGCCTCCAAAATCAGATCCAGAACAGCCCCTAAGCTGTCCTGCATCAGAAACAGAAACAGAAGAAGGCATTTCATTTATGGTATCAGAACAATGAATATCAATTAGGCGTGTAGAATTTGATGTTCATAAACTGACCTGCCGTTTTATATGAATAGACAAGTGACCGAGTTAAGGAGTAAGTAATTTTGGTGCAAGGAGGTCTTCAGACCTGATTAGACAATGTATTACTCTCCCATATGTATGTGTTCTCTTCCGATCCTTATCTACTAGAATTACTATCCCACCTCTAATCTCCATGATTTTTTATCAACAGGAGCCGATCAATCGATTCAAATCACCCAAAGATTAGACATATGGCAAGGCATATATACCATTCAAGTTCATTTATATCTAGTCTTATTTGTATAAACTCATTTTTAGATTGAGTCTCTGCTACTGTGGCTTCAATTGAAATATTTGGTATACATAAGAAAAATGAAAAATGCCTGACCTGGGTATCGAGAAGTATAAGCCGCTCGGCAGATATCCTGGGTTCAATTCCCACAGTACAATGCTTTGCCATTGCTCTGTTATCTTCAGACTGTACAGTAAAAGGCGGAAGCATCCCTGTATTTATTATATATAGCATAGCATACAGTATATATTGTCATTTTTTTAATATTCTTTTGGTAATATAACTTGTGAAGAATCAAATTTAAGAGGGTAACCTGGTGAGGTTCCATCAAAACCATAAAGCTCGTTCAAGATTGTCGACTTGCCAACCCCAGGTGGCCCTATTATTCCAACCACTGTGAAATCTGTATTCTCCGTCAGGAACTGATTCAAAATTTATGAATACATTAGAAACAAACAAATAAAAACAAACAATTTACGAAACTGAGGAAATTGTTATGTTATGTCAGCAGTAATATCTGTTACATACAGGGAGGAAGCGATCAATTTGGAAGTCCCAAGAATCGGAGAGGAGATTGAGAGAGGTGATTGAAGGGAGACGAGACCGACGGTGATGAGGCGCTGTTTCGTCTTCGCGTCCAAATTTAGCAGCAGCAGCCACCGCCGGTCCAGTAGTTCCCAACCCGGGTGGTTTCGCTAATAGGATTTTGGGAGCCTGCGACTGTGATGAACTCCCAGCCATTTCATTCATTAACAAACAACGTGCACCGGCACTGCTACTACTAGCTTTCGTTTTTTGATTAATATTTCTTTTCAGTATTTAAACCCTAACATGGAGAAGGGTAGGGAAGCCTGGGATTAGCCCAAAAAAATGAGAACAATTATATATTTGAAGAGAAAAATGACGAAGAAATAGTTTCATTATGAAATAAAAAGAATACGAGAGATAATAATTTTAAATAATTCTTTAAATTTTTATAAAATATTTATGCATAAAATAATAAATAATTAAGCTTATTAATAAGCTTTAAAATTATAAAAAAAAATTAAAAAAAAATTATGAATCATTAAAAATATTTAAATAAACGATCAATTGCATCATCTTTTCAATTTTTTTATTTTTTTGATAAATTAAATTATATTAAAAATAATATTATTCTAAATGATATTTTTAAAATAATTATTAGTAATAAACTACTTCTCCTTTGTCTTGATTCAAAGACGAAAGTAATTTCTTTTTAAAGCACCATGCCTTGCTCTCAAAAGAGAGGAATAAGAGGAATAAAACATGGATTTTCTTGCTCATTTATAGGGATTAGTTTGCTTGAGACCGAAAGTTAGTATATATATATATATATATATATTAACTAAATAAATTAAAATATAAACTAAACATGTTACTGTTCTAAATACTATTCATATACTAATATTTCATTATTCATTAGTTTTTTACACTTTGATCCTTGATCTTTGTCAACGAATTTTTTGATCTACATCTTCATTTGCTCATCCATTTTAATCCCTGGATGAGAGAGAAGGAAGGAGGGAAGAGAGAGAAGGAAGAAGAGAGAGAGATCGTCGGCCAAGCTTATTTAGGCCAATTTGGTCGGCGAAAATCCACTAGATTTTTTTATTTTTGAGAGATGAGTTTGTCCATGATTGTTTCAAGTCATGAAACAATTAAAGGAGGTAGATATGAGCCAAAAAAGGAAATAATTTTTCGATTTGATTGTGTAATTTTTTTTTTTATGCATTAAAATGATTTTTAAAGTCTTATATATGTTTATTGGCTTTATTCTGGTCATTTAGAGGTGTTTGGGAAAAAAAATTGATGCCAAAATTCAATTTCTAAGGGCTCGAAACTTGATCCGCGACTTTTCGAAGAAGATTCGGCGACCTCAATTCACCGGAAGTTGCAACCCCCCCCCCCCTTTTTTTTTCTTTTTTTTTTTTTGCAAGAGCGAGCAGCCTGAGTCGGACTCGCAAGCTCGAGCTACTCGGCCCGCCTGATGCGCGGCCTCGGCTCGGCTGTTTTTTTGTTTTTTCCTTTCGTTTCGGCTTAAGAAATTGCTTTTTATTTTAGTCCCTTTTTTTTTTTTTTTTTGGTCGGTAAACTTTTCTGATCTTTGATTTTTATTCCTATCATAAATATTAAAATTTTATTGTATGTGATTTTTATCCTTATAATCAAATTTTTTTTTAACTTTTAGTAAAAATTTATGTTCGTTTTTGTTTCTATTTTTTTAATATGTTTGTATTTTAGTTATAAAATTTTTTCATATTTAATTTTTATCGTTACTATACTAAAACTAAATAAACTTTACTATCCTAAGGTTGTTTTTTTTTTTTTACTGAAATTTTCTTTCTATTCTAATTTCTATTTTGTTATTTTTTTCTTTTTTTCGTCATTAAATTTAGTAGAATTTTTTTAATCTTTTTTTTGTAATTTTTTTTATTTTGATCATTATTTTTTTCCTACAATGAACTATTTTTTAATTTTAATAAAAATTTTTATTATATTTTGGTTTTTTTTTTATGATCTTTCATTTATTTTGATCAATTAACTTTTATTATATTTAATTATTATTCATTTTACATTAAAATTAAATACATTTTAACTATGCTAAGTTTTTTTTTTTAGTGAAAAATTTTCTGTTTTGATTTTTATTTTAGTCATTAAAATTCTATAATATTTACTTTTGTTCTCGCCTTATGCATAATGAAAATTTTTTAGTCTTATTATTTATAAGTATTTTTTGTATGCTTTTAGTGAAAGTTTTTTTTATTTTTTTTATCCTTTTTATAATCTTTACCTTTTTTTTAATCATTTAATTTTTATCATGTGTAATTTTATCTTTATTTTCTTTGCCAAATTCTCAATTTGACGAGCTTTTTTTGTCTTTTTGTTTCGAGTGGTCTCTCTCGTCTCATTAATAAATTATAAATGAATAATATATGGTCAAAATTAATCACCGAAAAGTCAAAAAATACCACATTATTATTTTAATTATCAGCTATTAATAAAATATCTGTTTTTATCAAATAATATCTAATTAGTAATATTATATTACTCAATTTTTCGGACTTTTCATTTAGTTAACCACGTAGCAAATTATGAAATATATGTTTTAGTTTTTTTTATAATAATTTTCGCATGATATTGTCAAATAATGATTTGTAAATGTTAAATTTTATGTTAATGAATGCATAAGACAACGCACGGGATATATGCTAGTATATATATATTCTAAAAATTTCAATTTTTTACTGTACCAACAATGTAAAACAAACTTCAACCAAGAGGCGAATTGGTCATTTACTGATCTTTCAATTGGACCTTCTAATGCGGCCCTAAAGGCACAGATCCACGATCAACCTTACTGCCAGGCCCAACTTTCACCATCGGTAGTATACCAACGTCACAACTTTTCTCATCAAATCAAATACAAGGACTTTAATTTAGTTTGTTTGAATACAATAACATTTTTAAAATTCTAATCTAAGCATTTTCATCCGCTTTCTATCCATTTTTTGCTAGATGATGACACGTCCTTTGACCAACCCACTGATTGTACACTAATTTTTACCCAATCTCAATCAAGTATATAGACTTTAATCATTCTTATTTTGGTACATCAACTTTTTTAATTATATCAATCATGTATTTATTCAGTTAATGCCAATCATGTACTTATGTCAACTTTTCATTTTCAAAATATAATTTTTTTTCTAATAAAAGTACCCTCTAAAATAATATATATTTAATAAGCGAAAAATATTTTAAACTAAAATAAATCCTTTTGGAAAGAATTTTTTTTTTTAATTATTAATAAGCTACCCATATTTTACACCAAAGCTAAATGATTGTTTAAAACTAATAAATAAATTATTAATGCAATTAAAATATTTATTATTTTAGCCAAAGAAATGAAAATCATGTAATCACAAAACTAATGAAAAAATTAAAGGATTTTTTTTTCATAGAAATACTCTATTGGTACAATAAAAAAGGTCAATTACCTAAAATGAAAAAAGATAACATTTATGTACACAACTGAAAAAAAAAAAAAAAAAGAAAAGAAATTAACAGTAAGTTAAATGCTTGACTGAAAGTTTTAAAAAAGTCGACGTACTCAAATGAAAAAATTAAAATCCATGTCTTCCATTAATAAAAAAAAAAGTGTAAAGTTAAATGTACTAATAGTTTAACTATCCCATTTATTTTGCTAAAATGATGATCTAGAGAAAGAATCAGTTTGTGGCATCCTGATATTGTTTGATTCTGTTAACAAATCAAGCGAAGTTAAAGAATATGGAGAGAGTATAACATTCATGTCTTTCGCAGGATTCTCAAGCAGACTTTGGGCTGGCACCACCTGCAAAATGTGACGAAGCCGAAACAGTTCAGCAGGATGGCAAACATCAACGTGTAAAAACAAATGTAGGAGATTTGAAAGGTTCTTAGATGATTGAAAGTTCGTGAGTGATATGTCAAATATGGCAGATATGAGATACCTTGTTTGGATACGTGAAGGAATTCTCGTCCATTACATTTGAAGAAGTGAGCACAGTTTTTGTTGATCCAGACAGTTGTGAGTTGAGCCTCAATCCATCAATAGAAACTTTGAGATTCACTTTACTATTCCCGAAATTCACTATCTGAATTACATTTGGCTGAATGTGAGGACTTGGCCGAAAAAATCTAACAGAAACTCTTACAACTCGATCTTACAAGTGTTTGTGTTTGTTTTCAACCAGCATCAGCTTATTGTGTTGTGAAAACCATGAAACTTGACTTGACGGATTATGTCGTATTCTTAAATAAAGGGATTCAAACTTGCAGCATTGACCAAAAAAAAAAAAGTATAGAAACTGAGAATTTGCATGTAGGACATGATTTTTGCAAGCTATGCTGGTATTAGAAGCCATTTAAGTTCAATGCAAGCAGCTTCCATACCTTTATTTTCAGGTAAGTTTCGCCATCCAACGAGTTTTGCCAAGTGATTGCAGATGCAACAAGTTTAGAGTAATTTGTTTGTAGTTTAGCATCAAGAAGAGTTGCTCCGCTCGACTCTCTGAAGAATTTTTGTGCCCAGTAGCTAGGAGTTCCGTATTGCATTGAGGAGTTGAAGACAATTGCATCTGGACTCCAACTTCACAGAAAAGTTTATTTCAGTTTCGTATTTTCCTGAAATGAAAATGATATTCCTTGCTGTGCATGCTCAAATTAACTTTAAGGAATAGAATGAAACTGATACCTCCTATCATTGGCATTCACCAAAAGGGGGGCATAGCTTGCCATCTCTACAACATCACTGCAATGGAGAAATAATGGCTTCAAGAATTGGAATTTTCAGGAGGTGCATAAAAACACAAAAAGGAGACTTTGGCAATGGCATCAAATTTGAACCAGAACCATCATGAATGGTGAAATGAGAATTTTTGAATTCACTGTTTAACAAGTTTTCATTAAAAATTTGTCCATCCCCCTCTCCAACAGAAACAGAGAGGGGGAAAGGCATCAAAACTTTGCCGATCCCCAAGCACTGATGTGAACATTGACAAATATCTTAAGAGTGAAGAAATAACTATTACTCGCCTGTTCTTTTCCAGCCCAATAAGGAATCCAGCTTCAGCAAGTGCTGCTAAAAGGCTTCCTGTGCCAGCATCTTCTCCATTCACAGCATACTCACTCACAAAAGCCTGCAAGATAGCAAATCCCATGACTAATTATCACATATATTTGTTAGTAGGTGGTCAAAAAGCATGTTACATACCTTTGGACCAGTGCGGGTTGTGCGATCAAACTGACGAGTCATAGAGAACAGGTTGCTGGCAGTTGCATAAATCTAGTTCAAAGAATAAAAACGGGTTAATATTGTGTTTCCTGACGGATAAAAGTATGCATATATGCAATACTGGAAAACAGAGAGAAAACAAGACTATTGTCATAGGATGTTTACATGAAAATCATAGTAATCAGCTGGGTGATCCAAAGAATAAGATGACCCATCACAGTTTGAGATTATTTTGATGTCCGGATAGGCACTTTTTATGCCATCATAGAACTTGAGATAATTTCCTGGTAAAAAAATACACACAAATTTGATTTCTGAAACTGGTCTGTCTTCTACAATCTGGGGTGAAGAGTTACATCTGCAGAACTTAAAGACACGTTTTGTGAAGAGAATCTTTGTCAGCTATAACTTGATGCAGAATGGAGATCATGAGACTATATCATAGCAACTCATCTTTGAAATCTCAATAATGGCATCAAACTTGTAAACCCCTAATTATCGTAACTCGTAAGGACTCAGGAAAGATTAAAAAAAAATTATTGAAATAATACATGAAAAATGTCATATCATCTCAATTAATTGCATCTAAATCGAGGATGACTGGTTCTAGAAGTACATGCTGCTTGATATGGACTCAAGCCTGATTCTTTTAACTAATGCAATAAACATATTTGTATAGGCATATTGGAGTTTGTGTTCTATGCATGTTCTTGTGTGCAGACAAAACCATGGATTCAAAACATACACAAACCTCGGTAATTCTTCTTCCAACAATCCTCATTCCCAACAGCAACATATTTCAAGTCAAAAGGCTCTGGGTGCCCCATTGCGGCTCTGACAGAACCCCACTTAGAATCAGAATCACCTCTAGCAAACTCAAGACCATCAAGGGCTTCCTGGAATTGAGACAAACATTGTTATACATTGGTATAGAATAAAAAAAGTTCCTGCCTTCCCATTAGCTTTATTATAATCCTAAGTTTTTTTTTTTCCACCACTATCTTTCCCCATTATACCTGTTAGCCAGTTGTGATTTTCAAAACATATAAAAAAGATTTGAATCTTGTAAGGCTAATGAATAGCCAGATTTCCCTAAACTCCCAAGCACGATATTCTACCCTGCCTCTACAGCTGCACCCACCCACCCCAACAAATAGCTGCACAGGCATCATATACATATCAGTTTGCAGCTTCACCACTGATGCTGAACCTTCTTCCATACCAGTGGAGATGCAAATAGAAAATAAGCTCTCTTATTTCTTTTTAATTTTATAATCATGAAACATATCAGGAGGTTGCAGTTCTGTGATAATAGAAAAATGGAAACCATTGAATTTGCATACTTGTACAAAAGGTGAGATGGATGCAATATCAACTTCATCCCGATGGCTCATTCCTGCCAAGTTAATGAAGAAAGAAAGAAAAGTGAAAAAAAAAAAAAATCAACCAAACAGGATAAACAAGGAAATGCCCAGAAATGAAGGGCATGAAAGTACCATTGTTGAACACCCATATCGGTCGTGCACCAAGATCTTCAGATAGCTACAGAAATAAGTAGCTATAAATTACATATCCTTGAGCAACAGAATGAGCAAGTCCAAGTTTAAATAAACTGCCAGGCCACAGTTTACCTAATCCTGCAACTGCATGACAAATTAAGGTACCTACTTGAAGAAACTCGAAGTAACCAAGTCCATCATCAGTCCAGTACATCCAAACATCACCAAAGTGCCCAGGTCTCTCCTCCCATGGTCCAATGCTTTCCTTCCAGCGAAATGCATTTCTCAACCATTCACCTTCAACGAAGCAGCCACCTAATGCAATACGATTGGAGAAAATCCCCCATCAGTGAGATCTAACTACACAAGGGACCAACCCCAAAAGTACGTTGAACATGAACAAAAAGAGAGCAGTGAATGGAAGGATAAAACTAGTCAAACAGATGATGCATTGACTTTGAGAAATAGTGGTGTTGGATCAAGCTAACACTTGCACCAGAAAGGGGCCTGCAGCTCCAAATGGAGTTTTGAGGTTGAGTTTAGGGTTGAAATGCTTGGAAAGTCAAAGAAAAAAGAAGGCTCTCCAGGGAAATGGTGAAAAAAAAAAAAACAGAGAGAGAGAGAAAGGAATAGGCCATCAAATTCCTGCTTGCTTTTCTATTGATGCCTCAAAATCCATTTCTCAAAAATGAAAAGAATTAGACCATAAAAAATCCTATTCACCCTCACAAAATTTCTGGTGAGCAGTGCAGAAAAAGCCTTGAAGCAAAAGCCTCAATAAATGTAGCAAGAATTGGGTATTGTAAAAAAATTGTAGCCAGGGATAAAAATGTGGAGCCATAGACTTCCCTGTGCAATATATGATACCCAGATTCCACTATATAACTTCTCATAACCTCAGTCAAAACCTGTTCGTGAATAAAAATGCATACATACCTGGAAATCTGAGAAATTGGGGTTTTATATCTGCAAGCATTTCAATGAGCTCATTTCGGAAACCATGCCCCTGTGGCCAAACAGAGGTGGTACAGATACTTAGACACAAGTGGAATTCATGTACCAGGAATTAAATCTCTGGAAAAAAAAAAAAAGAGTTCACACACTGGCAAACCAAAAACTTCAGAGTTTTATGTCCATAACCTCCATAAATCACCAAAGTTTAAGTCTTGTCTACATGTAACCTAAAATTATGGTTTTCAATTGAAAATTTGTTTCCAATTCTAAATTTACCCAAGTTAGAATCTGAAGCCCAGATCCTGCCCAAGCTCATCCTGTATACAGATATTATCTTTCTACATGGCCAAGTGGCTTACAATGTCCCGAAACACAAGAAGAAAGATTTATTCTTTTCGCTGATAAGTGGTGAAGAATAAGAAATACCTTGTATGTGTCCAAAGGCATAGCTGACACTTGATCAAACCATATTACACCTTTTCTGGATGTTGTCAACTGAAGCCTTGAATTAGGATTTGTTCCTTTGGCTTCCAATAGAACCTCAGTCTTTGTCCAGTTTGAAACATCAGAATCTCTGCAAAGAAGGAAAGCATGAAAAATGCACACTTCTAGTAAAAAAGAAACAATACGTTGCAAAATACATTCAAGAGGTGCTCACACAATGTTAGCCGTTGCCAATATCTGCAACCCATCTGAGCTCGTCAATGATACAGATACATTGATTGGTCCAGGAGAACGAACAAAAAGAACCACTTTATAGGTCTTCCCTTGTTCAATATTCTGAAGAAAACATAAGTCAAAGACAGAAGGGTATGATTTCCAGCTTTTCCTTATGGTACTAATATAAGAGACACATACAAAACAATTTTTTCTTAATAAACGCATACAAAATAAATTATCACATCTAGTGTCAACTAGTTCTCACCATGCCCCAGAACCCTGGATTGTATATACCAACTCCACCAGCTGGGCAGATATTACTGCCATTGCTGTCACAGAGCACATCCATTCGGAGTGCAACCTTATTCCGCTCAAAGCAAGAAGAACGGTCAGTGGATACAATTAGAGATGACTGATCACCAATTATAGACCAGGGAGCAATATTTGAGGGAGTTGTTTGGCCCCCAGCTTCAAAACCTGGGAAACAAAGGAAGCAAATGGAAGAGATTCATGTGAATCCCAAATCCAAAATACAAAGACAAATGTAGAAAGGCTTGAATACTTAATAATCAAAGTTGCTATTAACCCCAAAGAATCATAACTTAAATAAAAAAGTGCAGATCTTTCTATCAAGGCACATTTGGATAGAATTAAAAACTTAGAATTTTAAATATTGGAATCTTGGAACTGGAAATTTAGTTTTGGCTGTAATTGGCCAATGGCACTCTTTGAAACTTTCCTTCCTTTCTTCATTCTTCTTTTCACTTTCAGAAATTAATAAATTTGTAAATTACCCCGATTGTTTACGAGCTCTGCCCATATCCCTCCAGCTCCGGCGTGGTTTAACTCCTGCAGAAATAACCATTTCAGATAATGCTCACTATCCTAGATGCGAATCGAATTCCTTACTTGAAAGTGAAGAAACTTACCTCAAAGAAAATTCCAAAAAGTGTTTCAGGAATATGCCGACCACTGGAGGCATTAATGATCAATTTTGATGTCTGGTTTGCATCAACTTCAGCAGCAGAACAGTGATACACAGAACAAAGACCAGCAAAGAAGCAGACCAAAAGAACACCGCAAGAGGCCCTGCAACAACCCATCTTCTCACTCGTTCACTCACCAATCCAATATTGCCACGCCCTAATATAACAACGATAAAGAACCAAATTCAGCTACATTTGTTGATCAATCAGATCCCAAAAGAAACTAATTCATTCTCATTCTCTTCAGTTAGTACAGAAAAAGATGATTAAGAATTAAATAAAGCAGCAAGGTCTGTCCGTCAGATAATAGATCACATGACACCAAATCTTATACCTTAAAAAGTTAACCCCATCATCCTTCACATGGGCAACCCCATAAAAGTCTGGAATTCTCTTGCTAGTGGAGCTTCTTTGTTATTATAATTACTTGGACATGTGCTCCGCACGTACATGTTGCCTTGCTTTCGCTTTATTAACGTCACAAACCGTTATGAAAGAATTGTTTTTAAAAAAATTATTCGAAAAAAAAATTATTAATATATAATTTAATCCGAAAATATTTTTATTATCTAAATAAATAAATTCACAAGTCACAACACATTGTTGATATTTACAGACATCATTAAGCTTCAGTACATTTCTCAACCTTTTTGTTTCGTTAGCATGGGACGACCATGCATCACCTGCTTAATAGCACGGCGTTTCTTAGTGGTTGATTTTTCATTAAAGACGGCAATGGATTGGGTATTGGATCTATTAATTTAATTTTTTATCTTATTTATTACAAAAATATTATATATTTATATCTATTAAATAATTATCCTAAAAACTCATATATGACTTATATCCGGTTTATTCATGCATATAGTACCCATTTAATATTCTTTAAAATTAATTTATCAAAACAATTTATTTTAGTCCATGTAATTTCAAATAGTAATTTTGGTTCTTAATATTCATATTTTGGTCTATACTTTATATATTTTATTAAATTAGGTCTTGTAATTTCAAATAGTAATCTTGGTTCTTAAAATTCATATTTTGGTCTATACTTTATAGATTTTATTAAATTAGGTCTTCATATGTTTTTTTTTCAAAAAAAAAAAAAAAGTAAATAATTTATTTTTTATCCCTAGAATATCCCAAGTTCAAAAATCTAAGCTAATCATTCACTATTCGATCGGATGTACAAGACAAATGTAGCTATCTAATGAGTTTTCCGTATATATAAAAACTCAAAATCAAGACCATTTACTTTAGTAATCGAGCCTCTTCGAGTTCAAATCAACTCACTTGGATGAAAAAAATAAATATTAGTAGAGTATAAAAATAGATAACCATATTAGCATATAGGTATGGTTTTTACTCTTATCCAATTAAATATCTATTAATATTTTTAACGAGTATTTATCGAATCGGTCGAGTGGATATTCGTTTTATATCTTGTTGGTTACTGTCCCTACCTATAATAAGGAATATATATTATGTTTTGCCGTTTTAACTTGAGACAATATCAAAATGCTACCGACGAGATCACTTGGTTATTCTTGGGTAAATATTAATTCTAAATTAGACACTTTATCTTTCATTTTTCTTTCACTTTGCATAAATTTCAATTTCATCTTCAAAGTGCGTGAAATATCTCAATATAACCCAAAAAAGAAGAATTAAAAAAATTAAAATTGAAAAATCAATAAAGAAATATATTTTTTTCAATAAAACAAACATGATAAAAAAAAAAAAAAAAGTTTTTGCTTTTCTTTCCATCAAAACTATCTAGCAGTTCTTGACAATACAAAAATAAAATTATGCTAAACCTAAGTATGATAAAAAACAATATATATATATATATATTAATGACAGTATCTCTCAATTGCTTATTACATCTACATTTTTTTTATCCAATTATCTATTTTGAACAAAAAAAATTTTAAAAAATAATTAAAATCTCATATGATCCGAGTGGTAATTTCGGTATAGAACAATTTGGATATTACACGTAACATGATTATTTGTACATATCAAATGTGCTATGATAGTTGAGAGAGATTAGAATGGTGAATATTTTGACAAAAAAAAAAAAAGAAGAAGAAAAGACAATTATATTAATTTGAATTTTTATTTTTATTTAACTATAGTATTGACAAAGAAAAATATGATGTGCTAAATCAAATGATAGTTTGAGTATTGGATAATTTTGACATCACTTACAACGAGATTATTTACATATATCAAATGTGTTATGATAGCATAGAGGGATTAAAATCGCGATGATTTTGACTAACAAAAAACAAAGAGAAAATGCTAAATTAATTTGAATCTTGATTTTTATTTAACTATAATATTGACAAAGGAAAATATGACATCGCTAAGTGACAATTGAAGTTGATAGGATTTGAGAATTTCTTAAGAAACCAACTCTCTCAAATTTTACCATATTTTTTTAATTAAAAAATATATTTTCTATTTCTATTTTTGTTAATTTCAGTTCTTTTTTTTTTTCAATACTTTTTGAAAGATATTGGAATATTTCATAAGAGACTAATCAGAACAATAATAAAATATATGGAGTTGATTGAATCATATTAAAGGCTTTGATTGAAATTGAAACAACAAATAAAATTAGACAAATTAAAATTTACCCATATTTCTTACTTTTTTTCACCGCAAAAGACTATTAGATTCCCAGTAAATTTGAATATCAGGCCCAACTTCCAAACTTTCAATTGTTACCATTGGTGGGATAATATCAAATAGTATATTTACTTCTTCTTTTTTTATTTGTGATATTTTGCTAATTTATGGAAGAAAATGATTGCAAATTCTTCCTCTTGAAAAACTACTTTGCTTTGATTCAAGAACAGGGATTTTCTTGCTCATTTAGAGGGATTAGTCTGCTCGAGACTGAAAAGCAACAAAATACTATAGCCAAAAATGTAAATCAAACTCCAACGAAGGGACCAATTGGTCATTTACTGGCCCTGATTCTTTCAATGCAGCCCTAAAGGCACAGATCCACGGTCAACCTTAGTTTCAGGCCCAACTTTCACCAGCTGTAGGACAACATTACATAGGTTATCTTACTGTTTTGTGGATGAAAAGTTCTTTAGCTTTGAGATTGATTGAAAGGCAACAAGAAAGATACATCTTACAAGAGGAAATTAGGCAATTAAATTAACATAAATAGCAGGCAAATAACATTAGTTTGATTGTTTTGTTTAATTATCCCATTTATTTTGCTAAAATGATGATCTAGAGAAAGAATCAGTTTGTGGCATCCTGATATGGTTTGATTCTGTTAACAAATCAAGTGAAGTTAAAGAATATGGAGAGAGTATAACATTCATGTCTTTCTCGGCATTCTCAAGCAGACTTTGGGCTGGCACAACCTGCAAAATGTGACGAAGCCGAAACAGTTCAGCAGGATGACAAAAATCAATGTGTAAAAGCAAATGTAGCAGATTTGTTTTACAAACGCAAATTGAAAGGTTTTTAGGTGATTGAAAGTTTATGATAGTTATGAAAAATATGTCAGCTATGAGATACCTTCTTTGGATCCGTGAAGGAATTCTCGTCCATTACATTTGAAGAAGTGAGCACAGTTTTTGTTGATCCAGACAGTTGTGACTTGAGTCCCAATCCATCAATAGTAACTTTGAGATTTACCTTATCGTTCCCAAAATTCACTATCTGAAATACATTTTCCTGAATGTAAGGACTTGGCGGAAAAAATCAAACAGAAACTCTTTACAACTCAATCTTATAAGTGTGTGTTTGTTGCCAACCAGCGTAAGCTCATTGCGTTGTGAAGACCGTAAAAGTTGACTCAATGGGTCACGAGATATTCTTAAATAGGAAAAGCATTCAAACTTGCAGCATTGCCAAGGGGGAAAAAAAACCGATAGAAACTTACAATTCGTGGGTAGGACATGATCTTTGCAAGATACGCTGGTATTAGAAACCATTTAAGTTCAATGCAAGCAAATTCCATACCTTTATTTTCAGGTAAGTTTCGCCATCCCCTGAGTTTTGCCAAGTAATTGCAGATGCAACAAGTGTACAGTAATCTGTTTGTAGTTTAGCATCAAGAAGAGTTGCTCCACTCGACTCTCTGAAGAATTTTTGTACCCAGTAGCTTGGAGCTCCGTACTAGATTGAGGAGTCAAAGACAATTGCATCTGGACTAAAACTTCATGGAAAAGTTTCTTTCAGTGTCATAGAGTAAGAAATGAAAATGATAGTCCTTGTTCTGCATGCTCAAATTGAGTTTAAGGAATAGAATGAGTCTGGTACCTCCTATCATTGGCATTCACGAAAAGTGGTGCGCAGCTTGCCATCTCCACAATATCACTGCAATGGAGAAATAACGGCTTCAAGAATTGGAATTTTCAGGATGAGCATAAAAACACAAAAAGGGGACTTTGGCCATGGGATCAAATTTGAACCACAACCATCATGAATAGCGATCTGAGAATTTTTTGAATTCACTGTTTAAAAGGTGTTCCCTATAAATTGGTCCATTCCCCTCTCCAACAGGAACAGAGAGCGGGAAGGCATCAAAACTCTGCAGATCCTCGAGCACTGATTAGCACATTGGCAAATATCTTAAGAATGCAGAAAGAACTATTACAAACCTGTTCTTTTCCAGCCCAATGAGGAATCCAGCTTCAGCAAGTGCTGCTAAAAGGCTTCCTGTACCAGCATCTTTTCCAGTCACGGCATACTCGCTCACAAAAGCCTGAAAACTAAGAAATCCCATGACTACTTACCACGTATATTTGTTAGCAGGTGGTCAAAAAGTTACCCACCTTTGGACCAGTGCGGGATGTGTGATCAAATTGATGAGTCATAGAGAACAGATTGCTGGCAGATGTATAAATCTAGTTCAAAGAATAAAAAGGGGTTAGTATTGTGTTTCTTGACGGATAAAATATGCAACTATGCAATCCTGCACAGCAGAAAGAGAAAACAAGACTGTTGTCATAGGATGTTTACATGAAAATCATAGTAATCAGCTGGGTGATCCAAAGAATAAGAAGACCCATCACAGTTTGAGATTATTTTGATGTCGGGATAGGCACTTTTTATGGCATTGTAGAACTTGAGATAATTTCCTGGTTAAAAAAAAAAAAGCACATAAATTTGAGTACTGAAACTGGTCTGTCTTCCACAATCTGGAGTGAAGAGTAACATCTGCAGAACATAAGACCCTTTTAGCGAACAAAATCTTTGTCAGCTATAACTGGATGCAGAATTGAGGTCATGAGGCTATATCACAGCAGCTAATCTCTGAAATCTCAATAATAGGTCATTTAATGCACATACATCATGGCATCAAACTTGTAAACCTTAACTATCGTAAGGGCTCATGAAAGATAAAAGAAAATTTGAAATAATACAATCATCTCAATTAATTGCATCTAAATAGAGGATGACTACTTCTAGAAGTACATGCTGCTTGCTATAGACTCAAACCTGATTCTTCCATCTAATGCAATAAACATATTTGTATAGGTATATTAGAGTTTGTGTTCCATGCATGCTCTAGTGTGTAGACAAAACCATGGATTCAAAAGGTGCACAAACCTCGGTAATCCTTCTTCCAACAATCCCCATTTCCAACCGCAACATATTTCAAGTCAAAAGGCTGTGGGTGCCCCACAGCGGCTCTGACAGAACCCCACTTAGAATTAGAATCACCTCTAGCAAACTCAAGACCATCAAGGGCTTCCTGCAATTGAGACAAACATTGTTATAAAAAAGTTCCTGCCTTTCACGTGTTGGTATAATCCTAAGTATTTTTTCCACCCTTACTTTTCCCTCGTTGTACCTGCAAGCAGGTTGTGGTTTTCAAAACATATAATATTAGAGCTTTATCACCATTAGACACCTTGGGGAAAAAAAGATTTGAATCGTGTAAAGCTAATGAATTGCAAGATTTCCCTAAACTCCCAAGCACGATATTCTACCCTGCCGCTACAGCTGCACCCATCCACCCCAACAAATAGTTGCACAGGCATCACATGCATATGAGCCTGCAGCAGCACCACCGGTGAATGCCAAACCTTCTTCCATACCAGTCGAGATAGCTTATTTCCTTTTAATTTTATAAAACATATCAGGTTTAATCTAAGCAGGACTGGATCCGTTTCAATTGCGTCAATGGATAAGTGAGTATATTTGTGTGGGGGGAATTAGAAAAACAGAAACCATTGAATCTCCATACTTGTACAAAAGGTGAGATGGTGTGAGTATCAACTTGATCCTGATGGCTCATTCCTGCCAAGTCAATGAAGCAGGAAAGGAAAGTGAAAAAAATATATCAACCAGACAGGATAAACTAGGAAATGTCCAGAAATGAAGCGCATGAAAGTACCATTGTTGAACACCCATATTGGTCGTGCACCAAGATCTTCAGATAGCTGCAGAAATAAGTAGCCGTAAATTATATCTTCTTAAGCAACAGAGTGAGCAAGTCCAAGTTTAAAATAACTGCACAGGCCACAGTTTACACAAACCTGCACCTGCATGACAAATTAAGATACCTACTTGAAGAAACTCGAAGTAACCAAGTCCATTATCAGTCCAGTACATCCAAACATCACCAAAGTGCCCGGGTCTCTCCTCCCAAGGTCCAACGCTTTCCTTCCAGCGAAATGCATTTCTCAACCATTCACCTTCAACGAAGCTGCCACCTAATGCAATATGATTGGAGAAAATCTCCCATCGGTGAGATCTGAACTGTACCGACCCCAAAAGTATGTTGAACATGAACAAAAGGAGAGCAGTGAATGGAAGGGTAAAACTAGTCAAACAGACGATGCATTGAATTTGAGAAATTGTGGTGTCGGATCAAGCAAACATCTGAACCAGAAAGAGACCGGCAGCTACAAATATGGAGTTTGAGGCTGCAGTTTAGGGTTGTAATGCTTGAAAAACGAAAGAAAAAAGAAGGCTCTCCAGGGAAATGGTAAAAAAATGAGGATTTGTCCATGAAATTTCCTGCTTGCTTTTCTATGGATGCTTCAAAATCCACTTCTTGAAAATGAAAAAGGATTAGACCACAAAAAATCGTAGTCATGCTCACAAAATTTCGGGTGAGCAGCAAAGACAAAGCCTTGAAGCAAAAGCCTCAATAAATGAAGCAAGAATTGGGAATTGTAAAATAATTGTAGCCAGAGATAAAAATGCAGATCCATAGACTTCCCCATGCAATATATGATACCCAGATTCCACTATATAAATTCTCATAACCTTAGCCAAAAACTGTTCCTGAATAAAAATGCATACATACCTGGAAATCTGAGAAATTGGGGTTTTATATCTGCAAGCATTTCAATGAGCTCATTTCGGAAACCATGCCCCTGTGGCCAAACAGAGGCGGTACAGATACTTAGACACAAATGGAATTCATGTACCAGGAATAAAATCTCTGAAAAAGAAGAGTCCACATACACAGGCAAACCAACAACTTCAGAGTTTTATCTCCATAACGTCCATAAATCATCAAAGCTTAAATCTTGTCCACATGTAACTTAAAATTATGGTTTTCAATTTGCAAATTTGTTTCCAATTCTAAATTTACCTAAGTTAGAATCTGAAGCCCAGATCCGGCCCAAGCTCATCCTGTATACAGATATTATCTTTCTACATGGCAAGTGGCTTAAACTTTCCAGAAATACAAGAAGAAAGATATGTTCTTTATGGTGATAAGTGGTGAAGAATAAGAAATACCTTGTATGTGTCCAAAGGCATAGCTGACACTTGATCAAACCATATTACACCTTTTCTGGAGGTGGTCAACTGAAGCCTTGAATCAGGATTTGTTCCTTTGGCTTCCAATAGAACCTCAGTCTTTGTCCAGTTTGAAACATCAGAATCTCTGAAAAGAAGGAAAGCATGAAAAATGCACACTCCTAGTAAAAAAGAAACCATACATTGCAAAATACATTCAAGAGTGCTCACACAATGCTAGCAGCTGCCAATATCTGCAACCCATCTGAGCTCGTCAATGATACAGATACATTGATTGGTCCAGGAGAACGGACAAAAAGAACCACTTTATAGGTCTTCCCTTGTTCAATATTCTGAAGAAAACAGAAGTCAAAGACAGAAGGGTATGATTTCCAGCTTTTCCTTATGGGACTAATATAAGAGACCATACAAAACAATTTTTTCTTAATAAATGCATACAAAATAAATTATCACATCCAGTGTCAACTACTGCCATTGCTGTCACAGAGCACATCCATTCGGAGTGCAACCTTATTCCGCTCAAAGCAAGAAGAATGGTCAGTTGATACAATTAAAGATGAATGATCACCAATTATAGACCAAGGAGCAATATTTGAGGGAGTTGTTTGGCCCCCAGCTTCAAAACCTGGGAAACAAAGGAAGCAAATCGAAGAGGTTCCTGTGAATCCCAAATCCAAAATACACATATATATGTAGAAAGGCTTGAATACCTAATAATCAAAGTTGCTATTAACCCCAAAGAATCATAACTCAAACAAAAAAAGTGCTGATCTTTTTATCGAGGCACATTTGGATAGAATTAAAAACTTAGCACTGAACAACTAGGACTTAAATTTTAAATATTGAAATCTTGGAACTGGAAATTTAGTTTTGACTGTAATTGGCCAATTGCACTCTTTGAAACTTTCCTTCCTTTCTTCATTCTTCTTCGCTTGCAGAAATTAATAAATCTGTAAATTACCCCGATTGTTCACAAGCTCTGCCCATCTCCCACCAGCTCCGGCATGGTTTAACTCCTGCAGAAATAACCATTTCAGATAATGCTCACTATCCATACTCAACATCCTTATTTATGCATTGTAGTTTAAACAAACCATAAACTAACTTGATGCAAATTGAATTCCTAACTTAAAAGTGAAGAAACAAACCTCAAAGAAAATTCCAAAGAGTGTTTCAGGAATAGGCCGACCACTGGAGGCATTAATGATCAATTTTGCTGTCTGGTTTGCATCAACTTCAGCAGCAGAACATTGATACACAGAACAAAGAACAACAACGAAGCAGACCAAAAGAGCACCGCAAGAGGCCTTGAAATAACCCATCTTCTCACTCATTCACTCACCACATCCAATATTGCCAAACCCTAATATAACAACAATAAAGAACCAAATTCAGTTGCATTTGTTGATCAATCAGACCCCAAAAGACCATAATCTGTCTCTATTTATGAAAGAAACTAATCCATTCTCATTCTCTTCAATTAGCACAAAAAAGATGAATAAGAATCAAATAAAGCAGCAAGGTCTATCTGTCAGATTATAGGTCACATGACACCTACTTACCATAATTTAAAATGTGCATCTCCATTTAACCAGCGAATAATGGTAGATTCTTGCCGGCCACATTCACATTTAATAAGGATATCCTTACTTGTCAAATCAATTAAAAAAAAAAATCAAAACCCACACATTGTTAATATTTACCTACAAAATTAAGCTTCAGTACATTTCTCCAATGTATAATAGGGATGGCATTCCTCAGTGGATGATCCTCCATAGTTGCCATGCCTCTGGCTCGCTTCGTCGTCGAGGTCATCATCATTAGAAACACCACTACTTCCAGTTTTCGTTTCTGCGTCGATGTTGCCCTTGTTTAAAGTAGGGGTATTCTTGGGATCATTAGCACCACCGCACCCTTTCAACCAAGAGATGGTGGTTCACGGCTGGCCACCTTAGAGTCCATGGTTACCACTTCTGCATGAGCTTGCAGAACTACCAAGATCACATTCACAGTGGCATACAACCATTGGAGGAGGTAATTGTGATTAAGATTGATAATTAACCATAGTGATGATAAAATAATGTGAAAATTCTCACGCACAATAAGGCTAATTGGTCAAAAACATCATAACTTTTCGATCAAACACGACTACACCCTCAACTTTTCAATTTTCTAATTTTGATCTCTAGAATTCTCCGATATCATTTGGATATTTCATTTAGATTGTGTATCTATCATTTTCATTCTATTTTATGTCAATTTTAGTTTCATTGTCAAAGTTTATAAAATATTTTAATATAACCCTAAATATAAGAATTAGCAAATTAAAAAATATATATATATATATATATATATATATATATAACCACTATCTAGTAATTCTTCACAATATAAAAATAAAATTAAGTTAACAAATTTTTTAATAACAATATCAACCATTATTGTGGCTATCTCTCGTGCGCTGTCCGAATAACATATAACATTCATACTTTTATTTAATTTCTGATTAACATCTTGACCAAGAATTTTAAAAAAAATAATAAATAAATAAAATAAAACTGGAATCTCATACAATTGGAATGATAATTTGAATATATAATAATTTTAACATCACCTAACATGTGATTATTTACACATATCAAATGTTTTATTTGATGATAACATCAAAGAAAAAATGATGAGTGGTTTTATTAAAAATAAAATAGAAAGAGAGTTAAATTAATTTGAATCTTGATGTTCATTTAACTATATTATTGACAAATGAAAAGAAGATATTTCTAAATGAGAATTTAAGTTGATAGGATATGAGGATTTTTTGAAAAACTAATCCTCTTAAATTTTATCATATTTGTTTTAATAAAAAATATTTTCTATTGATTTTTAGTTTTTATTTTTATTAATTTCAATTCATTTATTTTTTCTTATTTTTTAGACATTATTGGAATATTTCATAAATTTCAGTTATGAAGTTGAAATTTACATAGGTAATGAAGTTGAAATTTACATAGGTATAAATGAACGGAATGAGGAGATTGAAACATGAGTGAAAGATGTGGGAACCGATTGGAACAATAGTGAAAGGTATGAGAGTTGATAAAAATAAATCCAAGGTTTTGAACAAAATTGAGGCGTAAATTTCGGGAAGGTAAATTGAAATTTACCTCTATTTTTTATTTTATTTTATTTTTACTTGGAGTTATTATTGACTTCGTCAAAAAGTACTCGATTTATAGTTAATTTGAGTGTTATGCCCAACTTCTACACTTTTAATTGTTACCATTAATGTGATAATATCAAATAAGATATTTACCGAGTTTTTGTTTTCTCTTTTTTCAATTGTACTAATTCAAGTATGAAAATAATCGTAAATTCTTCATTTTTGCTCGCCCCTTATGTTATCGGTGAAAATAACAATGTTTATGTTGGGAAATGGGTTTTTCCTATATCTAGATTCTGTATTCTTCGAATTTTTTTATTGAATTTTTTTTTAAATTTAATTGAGACTCGTTTATTCTTTAAGATTCTTTATTTCGGACTCTCTCTTATAATAGCACTAATAAGTGATTGGCACCTTTTCAAAAATTTTTACTTTATAATGTCACGTGTCGATCATTGAAAGTCTTAAACAAAAACTCTTGAAAAGAGTAGGATCTCAATTAAGTCAAAAAAGAATAGAGAGTTTCAATAAAAAAAAATTTAAAGAGTACATGATGTAAATATGAAAAAAATTCGTTTGGAAAAGACATGTATCCGAACCAAAAATTACATATTACAAGTCACAATTTTTTTTTCAATTTGTGCAATTAAAATTAAGATCAATCAATATGTAGTAATCAATGCAAAACAAATAAAACATAATGACAAACAACATGCAAATTTTTATGTGGCAAATTTGATGGAAAAAGCTACAAAACCGTAGTCCACTCAAAACTCTCTACTATATCAAATAATAGGTACACAATTCCTCTCTCAGCTCAACTAATGGATACACGTCAAAGCATCAAAGTCATTGTTCCTACCTAATATTTAAGGACTTCCAAAAATTATTAATTTTTTTTTTTTTTAGGGACGTGAATTAGCCAACATTTTTGGAGTCACCATATAGTATTAAAGGAATTAGGAAACCTAAGATAGGCATTGGATTCAAAGATTATAAGATAAGGAGTTGGTTATGCCTCTAGGAAGATATCGATCACCCAAAGATATTTTTTTGAGAAAAGATATCATGTCTAGTTTAGTCCTAAAATATATCTCCTAAGAAAATTCTATTTTATCCAATTTATTTTTGAGTTTAATTTTAGGTTCACATATTATCTAAACCAAATTAATTTTTCTATTTTTTATTACGACATCATGTTCAATTAATCATTGGACCCCGACATCGGAAGTCTCATTAATTCAACATCGGATCCGGTTAAAGTCTCGACATAATCGGTATGTCATACAACGACCTAATCACTAAAGGTGATTGATTTGGATTAATTAATAACATCAATCCCCATCGGATAGGAAACCCATTAAATTAGCTTGAAACTCCTTTCTTTTTTGTTCTTTTTTCTAATTAAAATAAAAGTGCTTTATTTTGAGGTATGCCCGAAAAACATTTTCAAAATTAATGTCTTTGTTTTTATTTGCGTTATTGTATTAAATTAACATCGAGTCTAAAATTTAAAAGTCTTATCAATTTAGTATCGAATCTAAATCAAAGTCCCGACACAACTAGCATGTCAATGAATGACCTAATTAATCGAAAGTGTTTACGCATAATGCTCGAATAAAATTGACTCGACTTAACTCTTTATTATTTTTTATTTTTTTTAGCATTCTAAGTATTGGATAGCATATATCGGAATCATCATTCATCCCTAATAAATAGAAGACTCATTAGTCCGACATCATGATAAAAAAATCCATACATTAAAATAAAATTTGCAACCTAAATATTTCTAGGTTTTCTAACACAAATAAAATTAAATATTATTGCAAAACAACATATTAAAATAATTTAAAAAGAGTAAGAAAATAAACCAAATGGTAATGAAAAAATGACCAAAATGCCTCTTGGACTACTACCGAAAATGACCAAAATTCTCTTCTTGATCAAAAAGATGAAACTACCCCTATCTTGATGGAAAAGACCAAACCGCCCATCTTGGTGAAAAAAGATGAAACTGCCCCTCTTCCCATCAACTTCCTCTTTCTCTCCTCCTACTTGCTTTTATGTCCATGTTGTCGGTGATCAATGACAACACTACCTCAAGCATATGCTTTGCATTATGCTCGATGGGCAAAGGCATAACTGACGATTGAATTGTCCCGGTTCGGTTTGGATACCAAAAACTTCTCACAATAAACGACATTTTAGTTATCCCAAGTACTCGGTTGAGATCATATATTTTTTGCTCTCGGCACAATCACTACTTGTGTTTAGATTTTATTTTTTGATGCTTGTTCCTAAATTTATAAGTTGGTCTTGGAATTTTCATCATATTTTGAAAAGGATCATTGAATAAATGTTTGGTTTCTATGGATTAAACCGTGAACTTGAATGATTCTCTAAATATAATTTAGATCATTTGAAAGAAATATAGAGATATTTCAATAAAAATACTTCCATTCATAAAAATGTTAAGTTGATCGATCATAAGTCAAAATATAATATTCAAACATTATGATGTAACTTCTTAAAAAGGGTTATTAAGCTAGACATGCAAAATGTTTTTGTGTCACGAAAGATTTCTATATAAAAAAAAAATGCTATTGAAAGCAAATGGTCAAATGATAAATCTATTTTGATTAATGAAAAGGTTTGAGTAAAAGATATTTTGAAAAAATTAGGCTTTGAAAGATAATTTTGCCTTAGAATATCTTAATTCTATTTTTTTTCCTTACCTCCAAGTTAGTTGATGAGAAGTTATGAATTGATTCATAAAGAATGACAAACAACACACCAACTAGTTATGCTCTTTTCTTATTCTTTTTTTAATCATTCTTTTTTTTTTTAGGATTAAAATTCATTAGTACGAGCAAACTACCTTTGATCGAAAGGACTTGTAAAAACATGTAATGTAGGCCATGCTTAGGCTTATGAAAAATGGATATATAATATGAAGTCCATAGATGATTGATGAAACTTTTAAAAAAATTATGTAAAAAAAACCTCATTAATAATTCCAAAAAACAAAAGTTAATGTAAAAAAAACATTAAAAAAAGAAAGAAAGAAAGAAAGAAAGAAACGAAGAAGAAGAGCATTTCTAATGTAAATTATAAGTCAAGAAAGAATTCAAAATTTAGACTAACGAGATAGTGAGAGTTGAGGCTAGGAAACAAGATTGATAATCAAAATGATAAAGTCATTGTGCAAGCCTAGAAAAAAGATTTTTTATAAATGTCAACATAAAGGCTAACCAATGGCTAAAATGAAAAAATCCAAACAACATTATATAAAGAGATTTCTATAGACAACAAAGTGATTATATATTATAAGATCGTTAAACATTTTTTGATGACCTTTCTTCATCTCAAAGGTTGATTCGTCTATGTTGATAAATGTCAATCTCTTTTGAAAAATAATTATTAATTTGAAAACCTTAGATTAATCGAAGAGAAAAAATGATGAATATAGTTTAGGATCATGACCGGAAGGTGTACTTGTTCATCATTATTTAAGACGCCAATCATTTAGTTTTTTAACTTTGGGCTTCATGAGATTTTCCTAGGCACAACTTTCCTTTAAAAGTTTATTTTGGAAAGACAAAAAAAAAAAGGAATTTCTTTTTGGTTTCAACAAAATGAGGGATTGCCCCTTACTTTGTGCTAAGAAAGATTGTTAGGAAAGGAAAAAGTATCTTTGGCTTCAATGAAATGAAGGCTTGCCTCTAGCATCTATATGTCATGCTTTAAAATTTGATCAATCTTTTGAATGTTTTTGAATGAATTTTTCATTATATTTTCTTGATGGAGGAAAATGTAATGATTTATAATATTTTTAAATGAATATCTCTTGATTTCATATCAAAGAATAT